GCCTATAAAGTAATTGTTGATGAAATGACATGGATCAAAATTACATAATAACTTCTATGTGCATTTTTAAATTTTAGGCAACTTGCAATCTCTAGTAATTTCACTGTAGAGATCATCAAAAAAAATTATTATATATGATAATAGGTAGGACACGCATTAAATTTGATTTCCTATTGCAGAAAGTTATACAAGTACTAATAATGATTAAGCTAATAGTGTTATGCTAAATACCGATAAAATTCATATTCCAACATTAAAATTCTTAGTCATAAAAAAAAAAAAGAAAAAAAATGGCATATCCTTATACTTTTAATAATAACGACTATAATGCTGGTGTTGAATATAATAATAATAATAGTGGGTATACAGACTTTGGAAATAATGGCAATAACTTTCAAGAGCAACAATTCCAGGGAGCGCAAGACGTTTATGAAAATAATAGATATCCACCAATTGACAACAGGCCACTAAATAACGGGAAAAATTTAGGTCCAGGATATTCACAGAAACCAGAACCTCTACAAGATTACAACATAACTTCTCCTAACTATTCCTCACCACCTTTGGAGGTGTATCCGCCTTCGCCTGGAAAACAGCCGTATCAAGAAGGACTAGCAGTACCTTTAGGTCCAAATTCTAGCCAGCCAGAAATACAGCAGCAATATAGTCCAGATTATCCAAATTATCCAAATTACAATAATTATAATTCGCCGATGCAAGCACCTTTATATAATCCCCAGATGCAAACACCATATGGTCATGAATTACCACCAGAACCTCCTCATAATTATCATAATCAATTTTCAAAACCGGATCATTTTCCATCATCGACATATAATTTAAATCAAACACAACCATATTCACGCTCTCAATTTAACACTAAAAATACAACATATACATCAAACGAACCTCAGCCTCCGATTAATTATTCTAATTATTCTCAGTCACAAAATACAACATACACATCAAATGATCCATATCCTCCAAAAAATTATTCACCACCTTTAAATAACACATATACACCGAACGATCCTCGTCCTCCAAAAAATTATGCGCCACCTCAAAACATCGAAATTACATCATACACATCAAGTGATTCACGTGCTCCAAAAAATTATTCACCAACTTTAAATACATCATACACGTCTAATGATCCTCATCCTCCAAAGAATTATTCCCCACCTCTAAATACATCAAGTGATCCACGTCCTCCAAAAGATTATACACCAGCTCTAAAAAAATCATACACATCAAATGATCCACTTCCTCCAAAACATTATTCGCCACCTTCAAATACATCATCAAATGGTCCACGTCCTCCAAAAAATTATTCACCATCTCAAAACACTAATTCTAAGGATAATTATTCACCACCTTCACAACCAGCAATTGAGGCACCAACTTATGTTGGTGGAAATAAGAGAGAACGAATTATGCAGAAGAACAATAGATGTTGTAATTGTTCAATTTGTGGATGCATACAATGCACTTGCACGCTAGTTGCTCTTCTTATCGGAGTGGTATTTATCATTGTTGGTATAGGATTGTTTACACTTTCTAAGGAGCTTCCTTCAGTATGTGGACCGTCTTGTGACCCTAGTCAAGTCACTAATTCAACAAACTCAACAACGTCGGCGATTCCTGGTAATTTTACGAATACAATTAATCAAGCAGTTAATAATGGTAGTTCTGAATGTAAATCTATATGCCAGGCAGCCATATATTCTACACTGTATTGGGGTGGAATTGGTTGTTTTTGTTTCGGTGCACTATTAGTGATAATCCAAGTTTTTAAAATGCTATGTAGAGGTGTTATCTGTTGTTAACTTTTTTAAACCTCAGACAACCATCTTTATCGCCGACCATTTCATCATTTCGATCATTTTATTATGGTTAATCACTTATCAACTCTATCAACTTTAATCGTTCGTATACCATTCATCTTTTTGCATGTGTTTAGATCTTGGGATCCTAATTGATTAATAATCCATTTTATTGGAGGGGTCACCTCTAATGTAACAAATTTAATCTAATTATTCGAATACTGTATTAAAGTTCATTGTTAATTATGTTTTCAAAATTTTGATGCTTTCATTTATTAATAATGATTTTTGTAATTTAATTTTATAATTATATATAAACACAAACTCTAATTCATTAATCGATTCTCATTATAATTAAAATTATACTAGCAAACTGACATGTTCGTATGTTTATGCTAATGAGGCGGTGATGAACAGTAGAACTAAACCGTAGATTTCGTGACGGATTTGATTTAGCTTGATTTAATGTCTACTCCACTAAGCTTTTTATTCGCGTTAGGGTTGTTAAAAGTCCGGTCCTGTCCGATTCGATTCGAGTTTTAATTTAGACTCGGTCCCGAGTCAGACTTGGGACCAGTCACATGCAAGATTAGATGTTAATTGATAGCGATAGCAATAACGATAATAAAAAATTTAATGTTAACAATCTTACAGACTTTACAAAACGCACCTATGGTGTTTTACACCTATATATATTATTTCAAAAACTGGCTAATTGATTAGTGCAGCAGTGCAAGTTATCCTAAATAAAAATGCTTTATATCTCTAAAAACCTCTTTCAAACTCTAATGCTAACTCTGAATACTAACGCTAATATAAAAATGGTGTGTTGAAAATTTTTATATTCAATACTTAGAAAATCTAAAAAAAAAAAGATATAAAAAAATATATAATACAGTAGGTGCAAACTACTATAAATGCGTTTTGTAATAAATAATCTTACAAATACTAAAATATTAGTGAGTACTTTTTTGTAGTGTTACAATGCCACGGCCTTCTTGCACCAACGTGGCAAGGTAACATGGCATCCGGTGCAGGGACCCTACTGTTGGGGTGTACGCGGGATGGAAGTGGAGTGCACTACAAACTCCACTAGCAGGAGGCAATGGTTCAGCATTGGGTCAGTATATATGTTAATACTTTATTTATTATAGGTCAAGGAGAATAACCTCACCTACTAGGATTACCCTAGAGGGAGTATATCACTTTATACAAGATACAAAGGTAGGGCTAGATTCTATGAGAGGGTAGGGAATTCTCTGGCTTGAGTAGAAGGGGCAAAGGCTTTCTTTTTATAACTTTTCTACACATAAGAGGTATAATGGCTAAATCGTGTAAGAGACACTCAGAGGCATTTGTGTAGAGGCACTTAGAGGCACTTGTGCAGAGGCACTTAGAGGCACTTGTGCAAAGGCACTTGTGCAGAAACACTTGTACAGAGGCACTTGGAGGTACTTGTACAGAGGCACTTGGAGGCACTTGTACAGAGGCACTTGGAGGCATTCATGTAGCATTACTGTGCCATACATAACTAGCCAATAATATTTCTATAACTGATACAATAATAAAGATAATAACTAATATTATCCCTTAAACTGTAGGCAATTTCAGGCAAATTTGCCTGGAAAATTGCTATAAATTTGCTTATGATTTACTTTTTTTAAAA